TCTTTCCAAATATAGAAAATTTGAAGTGTAGAATGAGATTTTTGAAGTGCCAATAACAATTCCCTTTCTAAATATGGAGTGATTTGTCTTCGATAATTTAGCTTATCAAGTAGTTCGATTTTTAATAATTGCCACCATTTGATTTCTTTGAGTTAATTTTTACCGTTCATTTCCTATGACTACCAAGTAGTCCCGAATTATTGAAAAAAAGTTGGATATGAACATGTCTATGTCTTGCAAGTTCACAAGCAACATAGATGCCTCCATAGAGTTGCATCATGGACCATATTACAACCTTTTTCCCAATTACCAATCTACTTTTTTTTCATTTCTTTCATTTATCTTAAAAAGTTAATCTGTTACGAGGTGATATTTTCACCACGTATATAACGTTTTTCACATAATAAAATCCATTTTTTTGTCATTTCTTTCATCCATCATAAAAAGTTAATCAATTGTAAGGCGAAATTACACCAATTTATACAGCATTCTAGGCTTCTAGTGGACTAGCACAATAAAAATCATTAAATTGTGAAGCAAATTTCCGTTGATATATACAACTTTTCTCCCACAATATCAAGCTGACAATCATAAAAAAAATATATTTTTGGTGTTAACAAAAAGAACAATATGTTTTTGGTACATTTGGGACCATAAAACCCGAAGCAACTAAACTACAATCTAATAGTCTCCTCTGTTTCGGCACATATGAGAAAAAGTTACCAAATTGTTCACCTTTTGCTTTTGCAAATCCTCAACCAAGAAAAAGAAATGCCAAAAGCAACAAAAAAGCAAAATTCTAAATTGATATAGCAACATGGATGGTGGTCATGAGAGACAGAAATGTCTCTGTGAGTCTTTCTAGCAGTAGATTACTATGGCGAAGCCACTTGCCGGTTTTTTTTTTTTCTTCTTAAAAAGAACATGATATAGAAAGGCTCATAATCCTACTAACAATAAGGGAAATTTTGGCAATGTTCCATAAATTTAGTATAGTGTTATAATTTACTTCTTCAACTTTCAGATTATGAACCTCTTTAATATGCAAAAATGAAAAAGAGTTAATTTTTCACATACCATCAAATCAATCATATTTCCGATCAAATAGGGTTATGTTCGTTAACTTAAGCGAGGAAGAGGAACATAACTGAACATGATACAAATTTGACTTACATTTATTATCAATAAATTTGGTAGAGGAGGGGCATGTGAGGAGTTGGGTGTAATGGTGGTCCTCACTTATTCAAGAGAGAGTAGGTACCTCGCACGCGATCATTGTTAAAAAACTAATCTCGTCTAATATTTTTCTATTTTAAAAGAAAAAACATGATTATGTAAACTCGAAAACAAAATTGAATGACGACAAGGCAAAATGGAGAGTGGATGTGAATTGACAGAAGCAAATCATCGATCGAAGGAAGGGCGAGGGGAAATATCGTTGTAAATTTACTATTTGTTTGGGTCAAAACAAACAGTTAACATCAAACGAATTTGACTCTATGTGTTTTGAGGGTGGGGGCAACAAATCTGATATTTTGACAAACATATAGGGCCAGTTTAGTCCAAAACTGAAAGCTCTTCCTCTTCATTTCTTTCAATATTTGATTGTGTTTAGCAACTACTAATTAAACAAATTTCATTGTTGAGCAATCTATTAGGCATGGGATTGATAATTAACTAATATTAAATAAAAAAATATTAAAACTCAAAATACAAGAATTAGGAATCACCATGGGGTAGACGAGAGGTCGGGGACAAATTTCACATTCGTATTTCACACGACACGTTTTAGGTTCAATTTCTGACATTAGTGAATTACACGATGGTGGGTAATAGGCATTGGGAAGTTAAAATTCCTTTGCAAGTCTTTATGATTCTCGAAATGATAGACTGACGTGACGAAGTCATTAACTGATTTTCTTTTTACATATAGAAAGACAAGAATTAGCATTAGGCATGAGCAATTAAGCACCCACCCCGCATCATCACCACGTTTCCAACACGGGAACACCAACCGACATGCAAGCAAGATGCCAAAGGACGAGCAATACTATCAAATAAAAAAACCTAATTTTCTAAAAGGAAGTGTTATTGACACTACAAAAATATCATTCTATATTCCTGTATTTTTCTTTTCAAATATAGAAAATTTGAAGTGTAGAATGAGATTTTTGAAGTGCAAATAACAATTTCCTTTATAAATATGGAGGGATTTGTCTTCGATAATTTAGCTTATCAAGTAGTTCGATTTTTAAATAATTTCCACCATTTGATTTCTTTGAGTTAATTTTTACTGTTCATTTCATGTCTATGTCTTGCAAGTTCAGAAGCAACATAGATGCCTCCATAGAGTTGCATCATGGACCATATTACAACCTTTTTCCCAATTACCAATCTACTTTTTTTTTTTTTTTCAATTCTTTTCTTTATCTTAAAAAGTTAATCGGTTACGAGGTGATATTTTCACCATGTATATAACGTTTTTTCGCATAATAAAATCCATTTTTTTGTCATTTTTTTCATCCATCATAAAAAGATAATCAGTTACAAGGCTAAATTACACCAATTTATACAACATTCTAGGCTTCTAGTGGACTATCACAATAAAAATCATTAAATTGTGAAGCAAATTTCCACCGATATATACAACATTTATCCCACAATATCAAGCTGACAATCATAAAAAATAAATGTTTTTGGTATTAACAAAAAGAACAATATGTTTTTGGTACATTTGGGACCATAAAATCCGAAGCAACTAAACTACAATCTAATAATCTCCTTTGTTTCGGCACATGTGAGAAAAAGTTCTCAAATTGTTCACCTTTTCTTTTGCAAATCCTCAACCAAGAAAAAGAAATGCCAAAAGCAACAAAAAAGCAAAATTCTAAATTGATATAGCAACATGGATGGCGGTCATGGGAGATATAAATGTCTCTGTGAGTCTTTCTAGCAATAGATTACCGTGGCAAAGCCACTTGCCGGTTTTTTTTTTTTCTTCTTAAAAAGAACATGATATAGAAAGGCTCATAATCCTACTAACAATAAGGGAAATTTTGGCAATGTTCCGTAAATTTTGTAGTGTTATAATTTACTTCTTCAACGTTCAGATTATGAACCTCTTTAATATGCAAAAATGAAAAAGAGCCGATTTTTCACATACCGTCATATCAATCATATTTCCGATCAAATAAGGGTTATGTTCGTTAACTTAAATGAAGAAGAGGAACATAATTGAACATGATACAAATTTGACAATTCAAGAGCAAACTACGACATTTTAAAAGGTGGATTGAAAGGAGCAAATCGTCGATGGAAGGAAGGGAGGGGAAATATCGCGGCAAGTTTACAATTTGTTTGGTCAAAACAAACAGTTAACAACAAAACAATTTCGTTTTTTCATTTTTTTATTCAAAAAAAAAAAATCAACAAACGAATCAGATAGTTAGACAAACAAAGAGGGACAGTTTAGTCCAAAACTGAAAGCTCCTTCTCTTCATTTCTTGCAATAATATATTAGGGTTTAGAAACCACTAATTAAACAAATTAGGCATGGGATGGATAATTAATTAATATTAAATAAACTAAAAATATTAAAACTCAAAAGACAAGAATTAGGCTTGACCACACACCCCATCATCACCACATTTCCAACACCAACCAACATGCAAGACAAGATGCCAAAGGACAAGAGCCTAAATATGGACGTATTTGACATTTGTCTTCGATAATCTCCAATTTTTTAAATAATTTTTATCGTTAGATTTTTTCAAGTTAATTTTTACCGTTCATTTCCTATTACTATTAAGTAGTTCCGAGCTATTGAAAAAAAGTTGAAAACGAAAATGTTTATGTCTTACAAGTTAAAAAGCAACATGGATGCCTCCATAGAATTGCATCATGGACCATACAACCTTTTTGCCAATTACCAATCTACTTTTCTTATTTCTTTCCTCCATCTTAAAAAGTTAATCAGTTATGAAGTGAAATGTTCACTATCTATACAACGTTTCTCACACAAAATCCGTTCTTTTTTCTTTCCCATTTCTTTCATCCATCATAAACCATAAATATGGTGAAGCTCTTTCAATTCTTCATTCATTTGCAATATTTCCTTCAATATATTTTTCAATATTTCCTTCATTTGCAATATTTCTTTCAATTTTTCAATAATTTCTTTCAATATTTTTTCAATAATTTAAATAATAAATTATGTTTGTCCCTATGGCCCTTTGTCCCTTTGTTGGAGACGGTTTTTTGTGACAGGGCTAAAACGAGTCATCTGGCCATCTGGCCCTCGGTTGGAGACGGAGGCAAATATGACCATGTACTATTCATTAAAATATTAATATCTTGGAGAATCTTAGAGGGCCAAAAGGCTAAAACGAGCCCTCTGGCCAGCCATTGGTTGGAGATGGCCTAAGTAGTCCAGAGCTATTGAAAAAAATTTGAAAACGAAAATGTCTATGTCTTACAAGTTAAAAAGCAACATGGATGCCTCCATAGAGTTGCATCATGGACCATACAACCTTTTTGCCAATTACCAATCTACTTTTCTTATTTCTTTCCTCCATCTTAAAAAGTTAATCAGTTATGAAGCGAAATGTTCACTATCTATATAATGTTTCTTACACAAAATCCGTTCTTTTTTCTTTCCCATTTTTTTCATCCATCATAAACCATTAATCAGCTACAAAGCGAAATTGCACCAATTTATACAACATTAAGTTGTGAGGCAAATTTCCGTTGGTATATACAACGCTTCTCCCACAATACCAACATGACAATCATTAAAACATATATTTTGGTGTTAACAAGAAGAACAACATGCTTTTGGCACATTTGGAAGCATAGAATCCAGAGCAACTAAACTACAAAATTTAGTAATCTCTTCTTTTGGAACACTTGAGAAAACGTTACGAAATTGCTTACTTTTAATTTTGCAAATGCACAATTAAAATCCTCAACCAAGGAAAAGCAATGCCAAAAGCCACAAGAAAGGCAAAATTTTAAATTGTTCTTATCCAATCAATCTTTTCTTGAAGCAAAAATCTATGTGCACATTACATTCCAAAATCCTTAATTAAACCTTACTTACATACACTAATTAACACTAAACAAAAAAGTAAAAAGACAACACAAAAATAAAGGAGACGTGGACCATTCCCCCGCCAATGATTTACACCCGCCATCGGCCCCGCCGCCGTATCCCAAACTCAGTACCGAGTCACGACTAACGAGTCGACTCGGCGACGATTACATTTTCTTTTTTATTTGTCATTTTTTAGCGCTGATATACAAAAAACCCATTTTCTATAATTTAAAAAAAAAAGAAAAAGAAAAAAAAAACTAAAACGTGGTTGAGTTGGCGGTATGCAAGTTCCTCACAACTCGGTACCGAGTCGGATCGAGTCCAGGTCCGGAACCCGAGTCCAACACCGAGTCCCAATTTGGCTCATCCTCTCTCCCTCTCATCACCATCAACAGCCGGTTGGCCTTCTCCCTCGCCCTCTCGCTCCCGCTCTTCTCGATCTCACTCAACACCTCCACCGCCTTCGCCTCCCTCGCCAGCCCACGAAACCTCATCGACCCGTGACTCAGCGCATAGAGCGCCGCCACACAGTTCTCCCGAGTCGACTCGGAATCAAACTCGGTTCGCCTCCTCAGCATCCCCACCAAACACTCCACCGCGTTGGCGTCGAGCATGGAGGACCTCCCCTCGTTGCAGCTCGCTAGATTGCACAGAATCAGCAGAACTCGGCCCGCTGACGCCGGGGACTTAGCCAAGGCCAACAGAGTTTGCACCGCGTTGTGTTGCTTAACGAGTTTGACTCGGTTGCTCTCCACCAGCGTCAAGTGATAGAGCGCCAACGCCGAGTCATTGCGCGTCCGCTCACTCTCCGCCCTTACGAACGCGTGCATCAGCGGAGGCAACGCGCCGAGCACTCCGATCGCCATCTTGTTATCTTCCTCCAACGCCAAGCTGAAGAGCGCGCCAGCGGCGTGCTCCTGCGACTCACTGGATCCTCCCTTCAATACATCCACCAAATGCGGGACGAATCCTGACCGTACAATCTTCACCTTGTTGGCCTTCTCCAGAGACAAGTTCACCAGCGAAGCGAGGGCGTTTTGCTGCACGGTGCTGTATCGCGAGACAACCAGCGATCCGACGGCGGAGAGCAGCCGGGGAGTGCAGAGCGAAATCCTAAGCTCCTCTTTCGTCCTCGTGAGCTTTCTGAGTAAAATTACCCCCTCCTCCTGCTCAATTACCTCGGAGCTTCTCAGCTTTGTCATCAATTGCTCCTCCTCCTCGCATCCCGGCAACGAGGAATTAAGATTTAGGGTTTGAAGCTCCGCTGTGATTTCGGAGGAAGACGACGAGGAGTAACACGACGGCCGGGTCGCGAAGGGAAGAGGAGTGGGGGGACTCGCCGAGGGGATGACCACTGACTCTTCCGACGAACTGGAGTAGAAATGGTCGACTCGGCAGCCCAACTCGGTCGCCGCGTGCATGTACCTAACCGGCGGCCTCTCCGCCATCCCCCTCAGCAGCTCCCGCTCCGAAACCCTAATTCCTGGGTCTTCCCTATCCTTCTCCATCAGCGCCCGTACGGCCTTCTCGAGTGCGATTGAATCGGGTGGCTGCGGGTGTTGGGCGTTGTTGCGGTCGCACCAGTTCTGGATGGTAGACTTGATGGCAAAATTGGGAATCACGGTGGAGAAATCGGGTCGGGTCCCGTCTTCGAGTTTGGGGGAAAAGCCCAGCTCGCGGCAGAGTTGGACGGAGAGGCGCTCGAAGGTCTGACCCGAAGAGACGACGACAGGGTCGGATATTAAGGACCCGGAAATGGGGCATAAGAGCTCCTTTGGGGGATTCTTTGAGCCGGAATTGGAGCGGTAGAAGGAGATCTTCCACCTGTGCTTGCCATTACCGCCCATGCCCAAAGAGGAGACGGTGGAGGTTGCGGCGGCGGAACTATGAGACCTTTCTGGAATTTTGGGCTGATGGGTTTCTGAGGGATTGTGTTACGGTTGTGTTGGACATGAGTAGGGTGCTGGGAGATGATTAATTAAGGTGCTTTTTCTCGGAAGCCTTGGGTTTTGTTTTGTTTGGTCTTGTTGTATACGCTGTGTGAGCTGTTTGCTTGACCAGTCAGTGACTCAGTGCATTGGCAATTATCCCCTTGTGGAAACCCACTTTCTTGTTTTTTGTTTTGGGGGTGGGAAAATGTAAAACCTTAGTGGGGTTTTCTTGTGTTTCGTGTGTTTGTTTTTTAACGATGCATTTTTGATAAACTAGTGATTTATATTACAATTTGAATTCTCTCCTCGTAATTTATATTTACATGACTAGCACTTCAATGGTTGAATATGAGAAAATAATGATTCTGATCATCATCGTATAATATTGCATGATCAAAAGGTCGAATGAGAAGGTAATTGCTAGCATTCCTCTACTTACTTAATCGTTGAACATAACTCTCATAATTGGACAACTTGTATTGTACCTTGTAAAAAAAAAAAGGTCGAATGAGAAGGTAAACCCACTCTCACTGTCGCTTGTAAAAAAAGAAGTTAGTTTTGAGATTAGGTAATACCATTTTTTAAGTGTATTTAAAATTTAATCTAATTGGTTTCAAAGGACACCTCTAAACCAATAGAAGGTGCGGCTGGATCACCACATTTTTAGGAAGATCTAATGTTTGTTGGATATTTTGATAGAATTATCTTCATTTTCAAATTCCCTCCCCTCCCTCCTTTCTCACTTTCATCTATATATTTTTCTCTTTATAAAGAAGTCAAAACAATATGTTGACGTGACTTAAGTGGAGACTGGAGGAGAAGATAATTTAAATATGAGAGAATCATACTCCGAAATAGATCTCCTTATAAAAACAGATGCCAACTTGCAATACTAAAATTAAATTCCTAGACAGTTGTGTATTTCAACTACTAATCATACGTAGGATACTACGTATGCGAAGCTTACGAATCCACAGGTAGAGATTGTATGAGAGCATGGAGTTTGAAAGGGTCCTTGTCACGGACTCTCACGTGCCAGGTTGGTGGCTTCAATAACCCTAAAAGTTTAGGGTTTGAATTACGATTGAGAACTTACGTTTACTGTAAATCGGCAGATTTTTTAGCCTACCAAACTTGCAAGTAGCTATAGTAGAGAACCATCTTAAATTTTATGAGAGGGATCGCGTTCATCGAGCCGGATATTCGATGTGTCATTCATATTATTGATATTATGAACAAGTTGGCATCAATATGGCGTTGAAAATGTTTCAATATGTTGTCGGCATGGCCATAACTTAATGAATTACTACTATTTTTGTGTCTGAAACTCTAATCTGGTGGATTTGGGAAATAAGTGAAGATTATTCAACTACAATTAGATAGAAATTAAGAAACAATTAAGAAAGTTTTAGTTAACTAAAAGATGCTTGAACTAGACTAGAAAGATTCTTACTGATATATCAACTTTGAATGCTTTTTGTTTTGTTTGGGGAATGAGTATAGAATATATACAATCAGTAAAATTTAGGGTTTGTTTGAAATTACTTATGTAAAAAGCACTTATGTTTATATGTTTATGCTAGAATTGTTTTTACTAGAAACACGTAGAAAGTTCTATAAAACCATGTTTTTCATGGAAAAGTATTTGAAAGTGCTACTTTAGGCGCTTTCATATAAAACGATTATGGGATTCATAACTATAAGTTCTTTTAAGATTTATGCCGCCAAACAAATTCAGAAAACACTTTTAGCTCGTTAAGATTCAATCCCAAACACGCGTTAATGTATCGTAAACTACTTCATTCTCCCATTTACACTTGGACCTGAATTGTCTGCCCTCCCCATCCCATACCCTTTACATCCCCTCCTATTTCAGTGGTCACAATTAAGTCACGTCAACATTTTAGATAATTTTTTTTATAGAAATAATAAGACAAAAAGCAATAGGAATATAAAATATTGACATAGCTTAACCGTAACCGTATAAATAAGAGGGGATGAGATGGGAGATGGTGGACAATCGAGGTCTTTTACACTTTTAAGATTCGAAATAGGTGAGGTTAAAAAAAAAAAAACTAAAAAATCCGACAAATCGATGAACTCCTACAGTTCCTGGTTGCACTTCCAAACAATCGTAGCTCTTTCATAGACACAAAGGGCCATCTGAAAAATTATAAATTAAGTTAAATGTTGACAAGTTTGTTTGACGAGAGTGGGAACACGCCCAGATGCTCCTCCATTACATTTACATATGTAATGTGACAGTGAAAGAAGATCTTTATTTTTATTTTTTTTTTGAAAGCAGAAGACCTTTATTTTGTAAGGGATTTTAACGAAATGTTCACGGTACTGTTTACTTTAACAAAAAAATCATATTTTTACACTAAAAAGTCAATTCTGGTACTATCCACTTTACCCTTTATTTTGTTCTTATCGTAAAAACCCAAAGTTTTCAAGTCATTTTCATTAATTTTCCTTATTTTTTATTTGTTTAAAGGCAGACGTCACATTAAAAAAAAAAAGATGAATTAAAAGCACTCTCTTTATTAACAACTAAGGCTAGTTTGAAAATAATTTTAAAATGATTAAAAACGCTTTTTATAAACGTGTTTTTGAGTTTCATAAGAAATTGAAATGCTTCTTACAAAAAAATCAGTTATGTGTTTTTTGCATAAAACACTTTAATGTTTCTATAATTCACTTACATTTTTACTAAGGATTGCCTTCAAAAGCACTCTCATAAAAAACGTTTTCAGTCATTTTAAAAGCTATTCCAAATGAGTTCTTAATATTATAACAAAAGAAAACTAATGAAAATGGCTTGAAAACTTTGAGTTTTAACGATAATAACAAAATAAAAGATAAAATGAATAGTACCAGTATTGACTTTTTAGTGTAAAAATGTAATTTTTCTTTAAAATAAATAGTACGAGAATCTTTTCGTTAAAGTTCCTATTACCAATGCTAAATGACCGATTCAAAAAGGTTGGAAAGTTCACTGGAACATACAAGGCTCAAGATTTTCATGGAAATCAAGCGCACGATATGCTTGCACTTGCAGTGGGCTTGAATGTGTGAGCTCCAAATTCGTTTTTGCTTTATTGAGATTTGTGGGCTTCAATTGGAGTGGGTTCTAAACGGACAAGTCACAAGTTCAAGTATATCAAAAACATTTTATTTGGGCTTGGGCTTGGGCTTTGGTACTTACTCCCTCTTAATTTTCTCACAAACATCTATTCGAAACCGAATCATGAAAATCATGAAATAAAAGCGTCATCAAGTTCGCGCTGCCTGAATACCATTATGGGCACATAAAGCGTTAAGCTTATCTACAAATACTTAAAATCTTCACAACGATCTAAGATTTTTTTTCAAAATTGCTCTGATGGTTAGTGTCTTACTTTTTTAACTCACTGCGTTTCGGTACTATTTCCTTTAACTAAAAAAAAAATTTCACATCACCCTTTTCATGAATAAATTGAAGAAATTTTGTGCACGTTTGGTTGTTTGTGCAGAAAATGCACTGCCCCTCTTAATGTGCAAAAAAACAGCTCTCTTGCTTTTGATCTGGAAAGGTAATTTTGATGATCAAGTCTATACAAATCTTTGATAAGAACATATGAAATGCACGTTTTACTTGTCATTTCAATTTTTTTTTAAGATAATTACTTACGAACAATGCATGGCTACTCAAAGATGAGTAGGAACTCCTACTTCAATCACAGAGTTTTGTACTTATGATAAACATCGTTTATATTATGAATCACTTTATAAAGATCATCTCTGCAAAAAATGAACTAAAACTAAGGTCGTTTAGTTAATCTATTGTAGGAAATACATAGACGATTCATAATACTTTTATTAATTCCGTTCATAAGTTTTTATACAGGTCGGTGACTAAACGACCTTAATTAGTTTTAATTGATTTTTTTTGCAAATGCGATCTTTATATAGTAATTTATAATATGAATGGTTTTAATTATGAACACGAAATTCTATGAACCGACAACGAACATTTTTGAGTAAAAAAACTCATACTCATTATTAAGTAGCCAAATATTATTCATTACCTAAAAAGATTTGTGCCATATCTTTGAACTTCCATATATGTAAGGGACAATCCACATGCAGTATGCAAACTGGTTACCAGTCTGAACAGACTGAAAGTGAAGGGCATGCTTTGGACAATCCACATGCAGTATGCAAACTAGTTAATAACTTGAAAAATAAAATTTCTCACCATTCCTATTAAAACATATGGTGTATCATTTATGTTCCCGTCACAATTAAAAATTTCTCCATACTTTAGACTAAATCTCCTCGGTAGGCCGAGAAAGAAACATGACATGCAAGAGGACAGAATAAACCAAGAATGTGGCATGCATATTTCACCAACAAGAACCAGGCTTCTCCACAATCTTGCAAAATGTCTTCCTTATTAGACGCCGTGTCTTCTGTCCTCAACAAATTAAGCAAAATACACGTGTGTTGACATGAACATTGAACACTCATGTGTTGAAGCGTCTCATATCGGAAACCTGATGAAGCGGTTTCACTATTTTTTTATAAATTCCGTACTTATTAGATTGCATAAGTTGTTAAGTTGAAGACAATAACCGTGTAATTAGTAGCGTGTTGCTGAAGCGACTGTATAACTTTGACATCATGTGCTCCTAGACTTGGTTTTTCTTTATTTTCTAAGCAAAGACTAGAGAAACTTAGAATTTTCATCCCCTAGCTTCTAATTAATGTGAAAGACACATGATCAATTCATAATCGTCAACCCCCATATGAAAAAGGTTGTGAATATGATGGATCGATTCAAAATTCAAACTGGAGAACAGCGGGAATAATTAAGTTGTGTTAAGAAAAATTTTATTTGAACCCATATAATCTCTCTCTACACACAACTTACTATTTATCCTCATAATCTTATTTAAACTATATAAATTTATTTTTACACCAATTTAGCCCAATTCGGGTTTGGTCGATGGGAAAGTGAAAGGAAATCACATAGAAGGATGAGCAGTCGGACGAGCGGGTAGAAAGGGGTTGGCCGCGGTGGAGTTCTGCTGAATGAAGCAAATGCATTCGGTCGAGTCCTTCTGACCGAACAGTTTCGCAGATAGAAAATGAGCATGTTTAGCAACGTTTAAGTAATAATTCAATCATTAACTTTCATGTTATTTAATTTACAAAATTTGTTTACAAATTTAGTCTCCCTGGGCATTACTCTAGAATGAAATATGCACTCTATGGAAAATCGTATGGCTGCAACCTTAATTTCAG